AGATAGATAGATAGATAGATAGATAGATAGATAGATAGATAGATAGATAGAAGGAAGGAAAGAAAGAACAAACAGATAGAATTCTTTATTGGCCAAGTGTTTGGACACACAAGGAATTTGTCTTGGTGCAAATGCTCTCAGTGTACATAAAAGAAAAGATACACTCATCAAGAGTCAAAAATCATAAGATACAACACTTAATAATTGTCATAGGGTACAATAAGCAATCAAATCATACCAGGAAACAGTCAATATAGATCGTAAGGATACACGCAACCAAGCTACAGTCATATAATCACAAGTGGGAGGGGATGGGTGATAAGGAGTGATGAGAAGATTAATAGTAATAGTAGTGCAGACTATGTAAATAGTTGGACAGTGTTGAGGAAATTATTTGTTTAGCAGAGTGATGGTGTTTGGAAGAAAAAACTGTTCTTGTGTCTAGTTGTTCTGGTGTGCAGTGTTCTATAGCGTTGTTTTGAGGGAAGGAGTTTAAACAGTTTATGTCCCGGATGTGAGGGATCTGTAAATATTTATTTGAATGTTCTTAACTCACAACATGTTTTGCCCCTTTTTGCCTTGACAACACAGTTTGCATATATCCACTGAGGTCATATTCCTCACTCTCTACATCAACTACCTAAAGGACCCTTGATAAAAAAGAATGAAGTGGGACAGAAAATTTCAATTTTCCCTTGGAACAAACTTCTTGGGACAACAGACCTGGTTTTTAAGAATCAAAAGTGTATGCAGTGACAACACCATCTACAACAAGGGTGTCATTATGGCCTTTTCTTTGGTGTTCTGTGCATATATGTTACATGATTTGAGCAAAAACATTAAAAGCCTACTTACTTATTTTGCTTGTTATCCGAACAAACAACATGGACAAAACCCCCTCATGCTATCCAATTTTGGGAGTGTAATTGCAAAGCATAGCTCTGTGGGCAACATAGCAGGGACTGGAAATTGGAATAAGGTAGTTCTTGACCTACAACCATTTGCTCATTCACCATCTGAAGTTACAATGGCACTGAAAAAGTGACCTACAACTTGTTCCTGCATTTATGACCATCTCTACAGTTGTCTCAAAGGTGCTTTTTCAGGAGGCAACTGGACTTTCTTGTTTTTTCTTTTGAAGACATTTCGCTTCCCATCCAAGAAGCTTCTTCAGCTCTGACAGGATCGTGGGGAGTCAGAGTTGAAGAAGCTTCTTGGATGAGAAGTGAAATGTCTTCAAAACAAAAAACAAGAAAGTCTAATTGCTTCCTGAAAAAGCACCTTTGGGACAACCATGACCTGGATGACTGAGAATTTCTACAGACATCCCCACAGACATGTGATCAAAATTTAGCCGCTCAGCAACTGGCGTGTATTTCTGCAGTTGCAGAGTCCATGTGGCACATAATCATCATTTGTGACTTTCCCAGATGGTTTCTGACAATCAAATTAATGGAGGAAGCCAGACTCACTTAATGACTGCACAATTCACATAACTGCAGTGATTTGCTTAACAACGGAGGGAAAAAAAGTTGGTAAAATCAGGTGCGACTTACTTAACGACTGCCTTGCTTAGCAATGGAAATTTTAATCCCAATTATGGTCATAAGCGAAAGACTACCTATACACACAGTTTTCTAGTTGCCCACATTCTTGCACTACAGTTTGCCAACACTTCATCTACGGAACCGAGTGGTGCCTCCTGAGAAATCAACCATTTTCTACTCATAGTGAACAATGTTCAGTTTTGTCCCATCTCATTTCCCCTTCTATTGCTTTGCAAGGCGCAACTGAAACTGTGAAACATGCTAAATTGCTGTGACAGTAAAACAAAGCATTTTAGATTTCTATGACAGTTTGCGATTTTGTTATGTGCTCAGGAGAGAGATAATAACTTTTGGCACGGGCTGGCATGTCCTTGGAGCCTGCCAGTTACAGCATCGAGGAAAAGACAATATGCAGGAGATTTATTTGATCCAAATAGAAACCCTTCTTATTGTCACCTCCAATTTTCTGCTTGAAAAGTTGATTCTGCCACTTAACTTGAGGGAGGAAAAAAAGAATATCCCAGTGAATTTTGTCAGATTTTTTTTTTTAAATAAACAACATATTACACAATAGTGACCTTACCAGGTCAGTAGCTACAATATTCTGATGCAATGAAATTCAGAATTACGTTTTTGGTGCGGTCCACTATAGATGTGTTTGGGCAATAACCGTTGAGTGCTTAAATCTGGCCTACGGGGCCAGCCTGGAAATAGCAAAAGACTGGACCAATGATGCCTGACTTGTAGAAAGGACTGAACAAAGTGAGTAAATTTTCTATTACTTGAGCTCTGCCTCTGGATCAGGGGCTCTGGTTCTGTAGTTTGAAGAATCAGTGGTGGGATTCAATTTTTTTTACTACTGGTTCTGTGGGCGTGGCTTGGTGGGCATGGCGGGGGAAGGATACTGTAAAAATCTCCAGTCAGAGGTGGCATTTCTCCGAACTACTCAGAATTTCCACTACTCCAGAACTGGTCAGAACCTGCTGAATACCATCTCTGATGAAGAATTGTAAAAACCCCTGTTTTAAACCAAGGGCATTTGAGGAGGTAAGGAACACCAC